TTGACAATATTTTTAATAGCTTTATGGATATGAAAAGAAAACAAAAGACAATATGAAAGGTAGATTGGATTTACCTTTAGATTATTGCAATGAGAATATGAGTTGATCAATAATAGGTTCAATGTTGCAAAGCCCAAAACCACTTTTTCCTTGAACAAAAATCCATAATTTCATATATACAAAATACTAAAAAGGTTGTGATTTTTTTATGGATATGCATCTAATATAGCTAGATTAGTGAATTTAAGGGAATGTCATGACTACCATGTTTTTATGTAAATACTCATTCCTATTGTTTATCAATATTTATTGCTAAGAAGGACATAAGATGTACTCACAGAGATTAATCACTTTCTTAAAGATATTTATTTAAATAAGGTGCATACCTAACACGTGGAGCAACTTAAAGTGAACGTCATTGAAACCATTTACAAGCTTGAAATAATCTTGTCTCCCTTATTGTTTGACTTATTGGAGTATCAATCCACACATTTAACATATGAGAAAAAAGTTAAAGGTCATGTACAATATAGATCGACATATTCATTCAAAAGATAAGGATCTTATATACACATCTTAAGCAATTGTCCATTATTTTTTCTAACATTCTATTATTCATCTTTAATTATATATTTGCATATACATATTCAACCTTAAGAGAAATGTTAAAAACAAAGCACATGTTAAGAATTTGATATTTAAGACTTGTATTGTTGAAGAGATTTTAATATTTATCTCATATTATTTTGAGTCTTACTTAAAACAAGAATTAATTACATTCTAAAAAATAATGATGGTGGTGAATTACCTTTAAGTGAGAATTTGTCAATATTTGACCATCCAAGTGTATGTGTATATATATATATATATAAACTAGTGTGGAAAAGATATTTGACCAATATTGAATTTAGACAAATAATAATTATGTGTTACTTAACTTTGATGAATTAAGATTTTTTTTCAATAAGTCATTTTTACAATTATATAGTTTTAAACCATTTTCTCTTATATACTAAATTCAGTAACATCTATATAAGCAACATTATCAAGTGTTGTTATCCCAAAATTTAAATGTCAATGAAGTTCAATTATTTCAAATACAAGATGAATAATTTGGCTCATGGTTTAAAACAAATATAAATGTTAATAATAGGTATATTCTAAGTTTAGAATTAGTTATGTTTTTTCTTCAATTGTTAATAATTGTTAAATGTAAGTACGTGTTTAATATATGTACCAATACTGCTACATTGAAATTTATGTCTTTAGATCATAAAAAAAAGGTGTTTAATGTTCAAATGGATATGTCATCAGTAAATAGATCTTTCATACAAGATAATATGGCAAGGGTAAAAATACTAATAATAGTTGAGTTTGTGTAAAAGGTTCAATTTTTAATGAGTTAGAAGTTGATTATTATAGAAAGTTAGAATACGTGATTGAATTATAATAACATAGGTGATAAGATACAATGTTTTTTATTCGAATGCTATTAATACGATACCAATAGAGGAATTATAGTTGATCCTCCCTATGATTTGGTTAAAAAACATAAAATATATAGATTTTGCAACATCGAGGATGTTTTATTTTTGTCAAATAATACCAACAAATGTATTATACACACACTCTTTTTTTTTTTATAAAGAATTATAATAGAGTTAATGATTATCCACTGTCAAAACAAAAACTAAGATCATGTAAAAATTGTTGAAGATAGTAACAATGAATTAACTGAGAGAAATAATGTATTTCAAAAAGGTAAGTTAATTAATTCATGTTAAGTAGCTTTATCTAACGAGTTAAAAAGTTCAAATTTTATGTCACTAAAAATACTTATATTAAGGCTCATATTGATAAATTAAATGTAATATTGAATAATAATACATGTAAAGAAGTAGATGAAGATGATGTTGGATATAACTATGATGAAAATGAAAAGAAGGATTCCAATTAAAAGGTGATGAATTGATTCAGATGCGATATTTTATTGTGTAATGAAATTGGAAATGCATAAGATATGTGTTTGGTGTTTTAGAATGCATTATATTTATATTTGTTAGATAATTTTGTTGTATACTTTTTTAATTTATGTTTATTTATTTCAATTTTTGAAGATATTTTTTTTTTGTAGTAATGGGTTTATTACGAGTAATTGTTGTTTTGGGAATAAAAAACACAACAAAAAAAAATAAAAATAATATTAAAAACAACAACATGATCAGCATTAGAAAGGAAATTCCGTTGGCATTTCTATTGGAATTTCAACTGCAAATTTTTATATCCATTCTAGAACTTTTGGTAAAACCTACATGACGTGTTAGGAGCTTTTTGATAGAATTATCAATGAAATCTTTTGTCAAAAAAATATATTAAAATAACCACATCAAACATATTTTTTTCTTATTTTTGTTTTCCACTTATATTCTCAATGATTTTTTTTTATTATTGTTCTGAATTACTACGAGGGGAAAGGCTAGGGACAACCTCCATTAACACTCTTGTGAGATACTCTCTTAACAAATGTCACAAGGTTGTTATTTGGGAAAAGAATACCTAGGGCCTCGTATAACTTTGAACAACTTGTTTTGGATTCGATAATTACTTACCTCCACCAACTCTCCCTCCATGCTTATTATTTCAATCAATAATAATTGTTTTGGATGAATATTCTAACCCATATTAATATTTCAAATTTATAATTGATGAAATTACATATTCTAATTATTAATCAATTAAATATTAAAGAATAAAATTAAAAAAAAATTATATTAAAAAACTTAACAAAAAAAAGGATAAAAAGAATAGATATCAAACAATAGATATCAAACATGAAAGAAAAAAAATAAAGGAGTGTGAAATTGAAAAACAATGTCTTGAATAAAAAAATAAAAATCAAAGAATTAAAAAAAAATTTAAAAATGTTAAAGAAGGATGAAATTAAAAAAATTAAATTTTAGAAATTAATTAAATTAAAACAATTATAAATAAAAAAGGAGGGATGAAATCAAAAGAAAACGAATTTAAAAGATTGATCTATAAATTTGAAGGCTAATTTCTAGTAAGAAAAAAAAGAAAAAATCGACATCACATTAAAAATTTATTGACCGCATGTGCTGTATATAGAAAAAGATGTGGTCAAGATAAATTGAATGATGCAATAAAAAAATGATTTTGATCATCGATTTTAGTTGTACATGCTAATATTTTTTATTTTATAAAAATACTAAATTGCTTCTATGAACAAAAATTTATTACGTAAAAGCATTGTGAAATGAAAAATAAGCATTTTAAAAAATTTAATTCTAAAGGTAAAAGAGCCATTATACTGTAGCAACAAATATAAAATATAAAAAAGCTATTAAATAATAGTTGAATATTTTTTTAAGAGCACTAAAGTGATTTTAGTGTAAAAAAAAAGAAGAAAAAACCAAGATACTCCTAAATAATTTTAAAATACTAAACGAACCAAGTGAAAAAAACTATCATACACTTTAAAGACAGTTCCTTGAGATTTTTTTTAATGGAAAAATCATAAATTCACTATTATATTAAAATCTACTGTTAATCAAGGCATGTGCAGAGTAAATTTCCCACCTGTTTCAGGTTTTTCTTTTGGTGGTTAATTACAATATTATCCTTCATTAGCTTAATTACTAACTATAAAATCTAAATTATCGAGGGAATCCCAGCGGCAGGCAAACCGAAACGAACGGCCAGAAAATCTAGCTTCATTAGGTTTTTTTTTTTTTTATTGTAATCCGCTGTTTTCAAGAGAGAATCAATAAACTATAAAAATCATATTTTTCAATCGGCACAAGCTACCCTATTTTATTTATTTTTTATTCAACCATGTTATTTTATTAATATTTTGTTTTATTTAAAAAATGTGCTAAAAAAACAAAACAAGCCGGAAGCTGTAGGGAAAGCCTCTGGACACGGGAGCGTGCGCATTCATGGCAATTTGGGACTCTGTATAGTTTAACATTTCCGTACAGGTTCAGATTAGGGGCATGAACGGCTTGGTGACCGGCAAGTGTCGGTGGGGGAGGAGGCCGTTGGCAGGTTTACAGGCTGGCATGTAAATTCAACAGTAATGATTCACACAGTGACTCGGCGACCACATTTGTCGTTTATTGCCAGCTCAGCATTTTTCCGTGCAGCCGCTCCTTTATATATATATATATATATATATATATATATTATTAAAAAGATTAATGAGAAAGGAAGAGTATGAGAGATAATGGTATACAGCCTGGCCGTCCTCAGTCAAATGGAGAGAGATCATGATCATGATCATGATCATGATCACCATAAAGCCCTGCCCAACCAAGCGTTGCCATCTTTTCTCTTGGGATTTTTTGTTGTTGTGTTTTTGATGGGCTAAGCGAGTAGAGTGAGAGTATAATTATGGTCTTTGTCTCTATAACTTCCAAGGTACAATTATGGAAATTTTATCTTCATCGAAATGGTTGCATCCTTATCCTCCGTTACTTTCCAACTGATTTTTGGAATTTCCACTTTCCACACCTTGGGAAGTCGAATTTGGCATTGACTCGGACCCAATCATGTGTTTTTCTTACCCTATCTCAAAGAAACACGATGCGGTGAGTTTTGGCTTCTTTGCTTCTACTATTATGTAATTCTTTCCCTATGATAATTGACTCGGACCCAATCATGTGTTTTTCTTACCCTATCTCAAAGAAACACGATGCGGTGAGTTTTGGCTTCTCTGCTTCTACTATTATGTAATTCTTTCTCTATGATAATAATAATAATAAATAAAATTCAAAATAAAATATATAATAATCTCAAATTTAATAGTTTCTTCGTGTGATGTTAGTTAACGGAGATTGGGGGGTTATTGAAATAAATTAGTTGATTAATTGATAATAGTTGTTAAGAACATGCGTGGGATTTCTGCAAGTCGTCCACTTAATAAGCAAATATGATACTCGGAATGATTCAAAAACAGAAAGAACGCTCCAAACAACACCCAAAGGAGAGAGTGCGATGGACGCTGCTCTCCATTTCCCAAAGCCCCCAGCCAGCCATGGAGATATATTAAAGAGACAGTAACTTGTTCAAATCACTGCTACTAATCATGACGCGTGTCCATTCGCCAGCTGTATCCCAAGAGCCCAACCGCTTACCTCGAACCAACGGTGCCCATAACTCCTCTTCTTCGCCTACCCCCAACCGCCTCTTCCAGTCACCCTCCCACTCCCTTATAACTACTATACCCTCTCCTCATATAAATATAAAATCCCTTCACCACCCCTTTGTTAACAACCTCCTCCCTCCTCCCTCCTCCCAACCTCTCCAGACGCAACAAAAAAAAATAAAAAAATAAAAAAGCCTCGTTTTATGCGAGAAAAAAACACACACAAGAGGGGATTTAGATTCGTGTGTTAGGATATGGCTATTACTAGAAAGGAAATGGATAGGATCAAGGGGCCATGGAGTCCGGAAGAAGATGAGGCGTTACAGAAACTGGTTCAAAAACATGGTGCAAGAAACTGGTCATTGATAAGCAAATCAATCCCTGGCCGATCAGGGAAATCATGCAGGCTCCGGTGGTGCAACCAGCTCTCACCTCAGGTCGAGCACCGACCCTTCACTCCCGATGAAGATGACACGATAATCCGAGCCCATGCTCGTTTCGGCAACAAGTGGGCTACAATCGCTCGTCTCCTCTACGGGCGCACCGATAACGCTATTAAAAACCACTGGAACTCCACCCTGAAACGCAAGTGCTCTTCAATGGCAGAGGATGGCAATTTCTGCAACCGCGAAGGGTATGATGGTAATTTGGATGGTGACAACACGCAGCCCTTGAAGAGATCCGTGAGTGCAGGTTCTGGTGTGCCTGTTTCTACCGGGCTCTATATGAGCCCGGGCAGCCCTTCTGGATCTGACGTCAGCGACTCCAGCTTGCCCGGCTTATCCTCCTCTTATAATTATAATATATACCGGCCCGTTGCGCGAACCGGAGCGGTTATGCCTCCAGTTGAAACGACGTCGTCTTCTGATAACAACAACGACCCGCCTACCTCGCTGAGCTTGTCTCTACCCGGGGCCGATTCCTCTGAGGTGTCCAACCAAGTCGCCGAGCCATCTCAGCTGCCCAAATCCAATACAGTGACACCCCTTTTGACGGGAAGGAACGCACCGGCTCAGGAGGTATCCCCGGCAGTGGGCGGACTGTCCGGGTCTGTGGGGTTCAGTACAGAGTTTATGTCGGTGATGCAAGAGATGATAAGGAAGGAAGTGAGGAATTATATGATGGAACATAGTGGTGTAGGTGGGGGTATGTGTTATCAGGGCATGAGTGGGGAGGGGTTTAGGAATGTTGCAGTGAATAATAGGGTTGGGTTGGTAAAATTAAGTAGTGAAAAATGGACAGGGTAGAAAGGAAACTGGGGCCTCTGTTTTCTCTTTTGGTTAGGGAATAATTTTGGGATTGTACAGAGAGAGAGAGAGAGAGAGAGAGAGAATGTCTATGGGGCAAGGGCGAGAGGAAATCGTAAAAACCTAGACATTTTGTAACCTTGGATCTGGTTCTGACGAGGGAACTGAAAAAAACTTGAAACAAGCACAAGGAAAACAACAAATCTTTCAATTCTAATCCAAGTTTGTCTTTTATATCTCAACTGGGTGTTAATGGTTTCTGTGGATGGCTGTCCTTTTTCTTTCAATTTCTAAATCTAAAATCTTTTTATGCGGAGAGAAGTGAATGATCTTTATAGTAAATTAAAAGAAATGGATCTAGATAAAACGAATGGCACAACTATTTTAGAGGAGTTGCTATGAAGGCGGGAGTTCCTCCGTGTGTTCAATTTCCTTATGCTTTACTATCAAGCAAATTCTATGAGGAAAAGGAAGGTTGTTTTTCAAGCTCCCTTCTTCATCTCAAAGATTTTGGGAGTTCCTCCGTGTGTTCAATTTCCTTGTGCTTTAGTATCAAGCAAATTCTATGAGGGAAAGGAAGGTTGTTTTTCAAGCTCCCTTCATCTCAAAGATTGAAGTATTGGTAATTAGCAGAGCGTGGAAGGAGCTAAATTTGATAAGACAGCTGTTAAACACCGGTTTCCTAGGCCCGCCCGCTATATTTAGTGTTTCGCAGTAATGGCTGGTCGTTGGATTAATCCTGAAGAAAGTGAAGGTGCTCAAAATCTTTAGTTTCAACTACCAAAAAAACCAAGGCAACACTGCAATGCTGTTTCAAATGTGAAGGTCTTCTTCATTTGATTTTTGTGTAAATTGTCAACTCTTTACAATTTGAAGAAGGGATAGAATTGGATTGGACAAAATAGTTACTTCTGCAAAAATACATGGCTTCCTCTGTATCTATGATTCTGACATGCATTCCTGAGCCATATTTTCTTTTCTAGCCAAAAAAAAAAAGGACACTTGAGAAAACCCAAGAATGTGAATCACAAGGGTGCTGCCTCCACGGTGCTTGAGCTTGTGTCATCTGTCACCTTTAACATCACTCTGGATTTCAGTTTCTCTACAACTTGCTGCAAATCATACCTCCAGGACCATTTGGGATCATTCAGAGCACGTATGGAATTGAGGCACACGAGAAGAGTGCCACCTTCATGTAAAAGAACCTGAACGTTTTTACCATTGAAAATCAGTGAGAAATGATGAACTTTTCATCTTCTTTCGATAAATAGTAATAAGCTTTGAGCTTGAAAGTGAAGCAAAGCAATCTCAAAACTGAAAAAATGAACAGAAACCTGAGCAGCTAATGGAGATGGCTTTGGCTGCATGGTTCTGTTGATTGACAACTAAAACACTTACAAGTTGAGCTCTTAGCCAAGTATTCTCGAGTATAAAACCACACAACCCCTTTCAAACCCACAAATCTTTCCCCAGAATGCCGGACTTTCCATTATGCCATCTTGGGGCAAGGAAGGATGAAGCTCACCATTTTCAGTTTGACACGTCAACTAATGAGAGCTGATTTTTTGAAAGTTCATTGAAAGAAACAACACATGATGGAAAACCGCTGTTTATCATTTTTCTATAGGATCTGTTTCAAACATGTTCCCAAATCCTAGAATTTAAAGTACTGCAAAGAGATTCTGGAAACAAATTAATATTAAGGTTCATCAAAGCAAATTATCAAACAGATTCATACCGTCAACCAGAGGGGAAGAAACCCCAAAACAGATGGAAGGGAGGCCAGAAATATTGAAGTTAATGCAAGGGCCACATTTTGCTTGATCTGCATGTACATGTGAGTACATAATGAGGATTCAAGAACTTTATGTCAAGAAATAAAAAATGGCAAGGAGATTGAAGCTAGCAATTACCAGGGAAGTTGTTTGGCGAGACTTGGCAATACAGAATGGAACACCAGAAATGGTATCCCTTAGCAGTAGAACATCAGCAACAGCTATAGCAGTTGCACTGGCCCGTTGAGCAAGCACAATCCCTACAGTTGCAGCAGCAAGTGCCGGTGCATCATTAATACCTTCACCAACCATGACCAGACCTCCCCCTGTGACAAAATTCCAATATCTGTTCAGCAAACCACTGCCGGTTGCATGCACATACAAAATTCAATTAGAGTAACTTGAGAACCCATCTTCAGATCATTCCTTAAAAAAGAGATTGCTTGAGCTTATAAATCATGGAAACTTGAATTAGGAAAACATGTGGCCGCAAAGCGATTTCAAACTCAATGTAAACGCTCACCCATATCCCTCGAGATACCCTTAACTTGATTAAGCTTGTCCTCTGGCTTCAGGCTGCAGTAAACTTCAGAGATGCCCACTGCTTTTGCAACTCTCCAAGCACTTGATTCATGGTCACCAGTTAACATCATTACTCGGAACCTTGCTTGATCTTGCAATTCAGATATGACATCTGAAACCCCTGGTCGTGGTCTATCCTCAAGGTGGATCAATGTTACCTACAGAGTCATAGAGTGACATTTAAAACCAGGAAAATCACAACTGACTGACCAACCCTTCATTTAGTGCCTTCTGTCATGCAGATGAATAGGATGTACATTGTTACAAAGAAGTCATATGCAGTAAAAACCCCAAAGCTTATAGAATTGGTCACAAGACATGTCATTTGTGACAAGGTTCATTGCTTGATACAATTGCGAGCCTTGGGTTGCAGCCACATGGTGCAAGATTCAAATCCAAGCACTCATTTCATGCAAAAGAGCTATAGGAATATTTACAAATTCTCTCTAGCATGAGCTTATCTTGATGGGGTAATAGCCTTCGTATATGATTTTATTGTAGGCTTCACAGAGAAGCATTACCTAGCTACCTCCTCCTCTTGTTCTCTGTGCACCACAAGAGAGCCTAGAAGGAACACAACTTTTCCTAGAATCATCCTTTTAACAATGGGCTGCGCTATAGTCAACCTATTCCTCAACATGTCTTTCTGTGACCAAGCAAGTTTCTAAAAGGCCTTAAAGCATTTCTCTTGTTTCAGACTGTTCACTGAATCACTATGATCAACTTAAGGAAACTATAAAGAATCTCAGGGTTGTTAATAAACTAAAAAACTTGAGACATGCAAAATGTACACATGACTTAAATAGACTTCAATATTGTAGAAAGAGAAAGAGAACTCACTTGGGATACAGTTCAAGTTATTTGCATTTAATTTTAGGCCTAGGAGTTTCCCATGTTACAGGCACAAATGCAAATAGCACTAGGAAGTCAGAAGGTAGCAATCATTCAGATTAATTGTGACTAATATGGTAATATTATCAGTACCAATTTATGACTAGGTGTTGACATATATTAAGCGCATTTGGTACAGAAATTTCATCTACGGTCACAATATCCTTGGAGATTTGAAGTTGGGATAAGAGCAGGTTAGATGGTATCTTTCATGAAATACCAACTCAGCTAAGCAAATGAAGCCTCACCTTTTCTTCAACAGAAAGAGCAGCATGAACAAAATCTCTTCCATAAGAAGATGCATTAACTGCTTCCTTTATCTTTCTTGATTCATCTTCAGATTTACAAAGTGAAGCAATGAACTCTACAGAACCAAGAGATGCTTTCAGCAATTTACCCCCTCCATTTCCTGACTATAAAAAAATTAAAATAACTGGAATTCAATTTGCAGCATGGAAATAAAAAATGAACCTTCAAACACAGGAAATCAAGAGGCAAATAACAATTCAATTTCATCTATTAAATTCAAATGGAAGCCGACTTGTGTATTGAAGAAAAGACAGAGTACCTCAATGTTATTCAGAGTAGCAACAAGACCTTTACCGGGAAAATATTCAAAACTTTCCACAGAAACAGAAGGTAGATCTTTGCCTATACTATGATCCACAACAGCTCTGTATCAAGCAAAAAAGCAATAATTTAACAAAAGAAAGAAGAAGTTGATGTTTATGTTTATGTTCATGTTCATGAGACAGATAAGGTGATAATAAAAATTGAACTTCTGTGATGAGAAAAGACCATGATTAATTCCAACTAGAATCAAGCCACGTGATAATGAGATTCTCAATCCATTTTTAAGTTTCTAAATGAGGAACACGGAATTCCAAGCAATAAAAATATTGAAAGGACCAAACAGCTAATTTCAACCAAAATTGTAATATGCCACAAAAGCATCTCCATACCAAGCTGATCCAGATCCCTAGAAACCTACTTCTTTTCAATTACATTTTCTCTGTATATACATAAGATATACATATGGCATCACTAATAAGAAAAACCCATAGAACATGAAAGGAGCTTTCATTATTGCTACCAAACACCATAACATCTAATGGTTCAATAAGAGTTTCAACCAAGTTTGCATATGCATATTTCATAGAGGGTGGGAATAATGAATACGGAACAACTCAAAACAAGAAGTTTGTATGACACAACAAGATACGATGAAGCACCAATGAAAATAAAATAAGACAATTGAATAAGCTGAAAAAACTCTTTCCTGCCATCAAGCCAAAACTAGATCAACAGGGGAAGCAACGATTAGCAATAAATAAGAAGGCATGTCTTCTTACATTTATATTTTGTTGGTGTGTGTGGGTGCATGTTGTGGGGTAGAGGAGGCGGGGGTGTTAAGTATGTGTATTGTAGTGGGTGCATGTTGTGGGGTAGAGGAGGCAGGGGTGTTAAGTATGTGTATTGTAAGAATTACCTTCCAATAGGGTGAGTAGTGCCCTTTTCCATAGCAGCTGCTACAGCAAGAGCTTCCTTTTCACAACTGGGAATGCAACAAGAAGTGAAATTTGTCCTGTTGTTTCTGATCAGGTGCCCATAAATTGGTTCAATAGCTTTGAACATTAGCCCCCCAGTTGTCAATGTTCCAGTTTTGTCAAATGCTATGGTGTGGCAGGAAGCTAAAGCATCTAGAACCTGGCCTCCTTTAAGCAATATCCCCTTCATACAAAGATAGCAGATAGTTAAACCAGGATTGCCACACACGTGAAGCTTAAATCATAAGAAATTGAGCTCCAGTTTAGCGAAATTTGAAGTTTTTGTTTCCACCATGGTTTTTCTTTTTTCAGTTGTACGAGGTTTAAAATATTCATGTTTCATATTTTAATATCATGTATCAAACATGGGCAACCTAGCGTCATCTATAGATGATATAATTGAAAATGAGACAGTAAAAGCCAGGGGAAAAAAATTCTAATATGCTA